GGCCCAATAAAACTTTATTGACAACGTAGGCCGCAGATGTTGGTTACAGCAAGGAGGGCGTCACGGAGGCTAAAGGGAGAAGTAATTCCAAAAAGGAGGCAGAGCCCCGGCCGGTGTGGCTCAGTGGGTAGAGCGTCGGCCTGCGGACCAAAGGGTCCCGGGTTCGATTCCGGTCCAGGGCACGGACCTGGGTGGCAGGCTTCTCCCCGACCCCGGGCCCTGGTTGGGGCATGTGCAGGAGGCAGCCCATCAATGTGTCTCTCTCACATCGATGTTTCTCTCTGTCTCTCCCTCTCCCTCCCGCTCTCTCTAAAAATCAATGGAGAAATATCCTCGGGGATAGATTAACCAAAATTGAAAAAAAGAAGAAAAAAAAGGGAGGCAGAGAGCAGCCATGTTAGATGCTGCCCTGAGCCCTCATGCGGGGTACGGGCCCCCATTTTCTCTTTGGCAGTTGGGAGATCCGGTGCGGCCTGAGCGAGGGTGGTTTTGATGAATTTCAGGCTGAAACCCCAGCCTGGTCATGTGGGTTGATGAGCGAACAGAAGGCGAGGATGAAGGGGTAGGGGTTCCCCAGACAGAAGAAGGGGCGCCCTCCTCCAGCTGGTCAGAGCTGCAGGGAGCCTTGGGCTTAAGAAGTGTGGGAGCCCTGGCCAGTGTGGCTCAGTGGATAGAGCATCCGGCCTGGGCACAGAAGGGTCCCGGGTTCGATTCCGCCGAAGGGCACAGGCCCAGGTTGTGGGCTCGATCCCCAGTAGGGGGCGTGCAGGAGGCAGCCTGTCCATGATTCTCTCTCATCATGGATGTTTCTCTCTCTCCCTCTCCATTCATTCCTCTCTGAAATCCATAAAAATATATTTACAAGGAAAAAAAAAGAAGGAAAGAAGTGTGGAGCCCTGGCCGGTGCGGCTCAATGGATAGAGCGTCGGCCTGCAGACCCAAGGGTCCTGGGTTCGATTCCCGGTCCAGGGCACGGACCTGAGTGGCAGGCTCCTCCCCGGCCCGGGCCCCGGTCGGGGCGCGTGCAGGAGGCACGTGTCTCTCTCACATCGATGTTTCTCTCTGTCTCTCCCCCTCCCTTCCACTCTCCCTAAAAATCAACGGGAAAATACCCTTGGGGGAGGATGAACAAAAAAATTTTTTAATTAAAAAAAAACAACAGAAACGCCCAGTGCTCTGGCCCTGGCTCTCCATCCCAGCCCCTCAGGCCCGTGTGGCTCCCTAAAAATCAACGAGAAAATACCCTCGGGGGAGGATGAACAAAAAAAATTTTTTTAATTAAAAAAAAACAACAGAAACACCCGGTGCTCTGGCCCTCGCTCTCCATCCCAGCCCCTCAGGCCCGTGTGGCTGGCTCCTCCCTGGCCCAGATGGAAGCACTTTCCTGCAGTCGGGCTCCAGTGAAAGGAACGCGGCCAGTGCAGCCTCGTCCCCTCCCCACAGGGTGTGCATGGTCCGCAATGCGCCCACGTCCCCAAGCCATCGGGGCGGCGACCTCCC